GGGGGCGTGGTCAGACACAGCTCATTTACATTTAAAAGTACAGACACAGAAACAGCCTGTTCTGAGCAGGGCTGAAATAGAGGGGTTTATAGGCATGATCAAATACAGGATCAGAGTGGATTTAGAACAAGAAACTTCACACATATGTTTTGGGGAGCTCTGAGACTTATTTACACTGGTTGAAAAGGAGGAGGACCTTTAAGAAGCCAGAAACAACCTTTAAAAAAATAAATAAAAAGAGATCAAACTACCATAAGATTTGGCTCGTATTTTGTTTATCAACTCCAACTAAATCTCATTCATTTTGATAACTCAGTTTCCTCTTGAGATACCATCTCAAATAAACTAATAATTTAAAGTTCTAATTTCTACAGAATTTCACAACCTCTGTTTAAACCACTTCTGAAGTGCAACTTATCCATTAAAGTGATCCATCTCTCACACCTTGATTTTTTCAATCAGTAGTTCTTGGAAAGCTTTCCATATAAAAACCTACCAACAGAATAATCAGAAACATTCCTTCCATCAAATCAAGCGTGCCCCGCTCTCAGGCTCCTGACTGAAATGGTTTCAGCTCCATTAACCAGCCATGCATCCATACATTCACTATTAACGCTGCAGTGGAGCCCGCTTTGAAAAACGATCTGTTTTCACTGAGTGCTGCAGTGAAATTATTCCCAAGCGTAGTCGGAGGAAAATCTGGCAGGCACAAAAAGAAAGGAAAAGACTTTGATTCCAAACCGACATAACTCGGATTGGAAAGAAAACAAGGGAAACCAAAATGAACGTACTTTAGAGTACTTCTTCATAATACTTCTGCCAAAATCAGAGTGAGAATGAACATTTAACTTTTGAAATACAGATGTAACTGAACTTCATATTGTTTAAAGGTATTATATAGAAATTTATTAGAATGTGCAATTAAAAATTGACTTAACCTATGTTATTCAAGCTACTCTCAGTTTAATTATTTGGCTTTTATTGAACAATGTCGTCGAACATCACATATGTAGGCCTACCAATCCAATGTGTTGTTGATTCATTTCTTACATACCAGAATCTGGCCAATCTAAGAGCTCATTGTCTATCCAGTGACGTTGTATTCTCAGGGAGCGATGGCCAACTTCTCAACTTCAAAGATGGTTTTCAATGAAGCCAGTTGTTTGGGATAAGAGACTTCAAGTCTTAGCCACAAGACCTCTCTGTATGTTGCCATTGATTACACTCAGACTGGCAACTCTGAGACACAAGGATGGAGTTAGGTTTGGGAAACAACATCCAAAAGAGGATTATTAGCTGCACAAAACTATATGATCGTTAGGGGACTGCTGATAGATTCCAGGACTGCAATAGTTTGTATTTTCCCCTTTTTTTCTCTCCAGTGAATTTTTCTCAGGAGGCAGAAAATGACATGAAGAGAACACTGGTTGTAATGTTTACGAGACATTCAAGATGACGGGCGATGCAACGTCTGATATTATAAAGATAGTTCTTGTCTTTAAAGGGCCAGCAGACAAGAGAATCAAGCTTCATTACATGAATGGAGAATGATCAAACCGGTCGCTCGTGAAATAAAGGGCATCAGCCCCTCCCGCTCGCTTACAATACATTTTCCTGAATATTACCTGCTGCGTTCACACATCAGCTTACACTGTCTTTACGAGGATAATTCATCTGAGGCTGGCAAGAAAAAGTTGGGTTGAAAACTGTGGCTGTTCATGTCACCAGATGCTCTCTCTGAAAGTTTTGGTATATCTTAGAGACTTTTATGCAGTTGTGCAAAAAAGTCTATTTTCAGGTGTTTTTACTGCAACTAGACTTTTCAATTGTTGTGTTACACAGAGTGACACACAGTAGTCCAAAGTACTATAGGCCAAATTGTCTCGAGCACACAATTCAGACGTCTGTATGCTCTGTCTGTGTCTCTGGAGGGATGTTTGTAAATGGGAAGCAGAGATGCAGCGGACTCTAAACCTCACTGAGACATTTGGCAGTGAGGTCTGTCATTGTGGCCTGAGGCTTCAGCTCCTGGTCAGAGGAGGACTACATGTGGACAGGAAAGCAACGGTCTGTGCAGCCGAGGTCCTCCTTCCTATCTCTGGGTGTCAACTGACTTCCTCTCTGTCACCTTTGACATTTGGCCTGCCATGAAAATAAGCCATCTATTTATGTCTCTGAGGACTGAAAATACAAATTTTTAAATTCATCATCACACGATAGAACCGTGGTTCCCAAAGTGGGGGTCAAGCCACCAATAGGGGGGTCTCGAGATGCCTTCCATAAAAAACAATATTAATAATTTTAAATTGAATACTTTACCTATTATTGTGGAAAAAAATACAAAAAAGTAGTTGGATTTGAGTTCAAACTTTATTACCATACATGTAAGTGTGCACAACGACAATGTAGGTGTCTATATCCTCCACGAAAAGAAGCTGGAATAAAAAATTTACATGCACATTGTTGCTTAAAGTGTCTTTAACTATTTTAATAATCGATTAGGCAACAAATTGTTTTAGCTCTAAAGTTCTTGTTTTTGTTAGTCCACTTAAAACAACTTTTCCATCCATCCATTAATCCAAAATCCATCCATCAATCCATCCATCCATCCATCCATCCATCCAACATCAATCCATCCATCCATCATCAATCCATCCATCCATCCAACATCAATCCATCCATCCATCCAACATCCATCCATCCATCAATCCATCCATCCATATAGCCAACATCCATCCATATAGCCAACATCAATCCATCCATCCAACATCAATCCATCCATCCATCCATCCAACATCCATCCATCCATCCACCCACCCACCCATCCATCAATCCATCTATCCATCCATCCATCCATCCATCCATCCATCCATCCATCCATCCACCCATCCACCCATCCAACATCAATCAATCCATCCATCCAATGTCAATCCATCCATCCATCCAACATCAATCCATCCATCCCTCCATACATCCAACATCAATCCATCCATATATCCAACATCAATCCATCCATATATCCAACATCAATCCATCCATCTATCATCAATCAATCAATCCATCAATCAATCCATCCATCCATCTTTCTTCCTTGTTGGGTTTTCCAATGAAATTTGAATTTGGGGGATTTTGTATTATTCTGAATGTTCCAGATGTTTTCACAGACTTTAAAATGGAAAACTATCGGCTCATAAAATCAAATGTAAAAGCAAATTCTAAAGCTTTAACAATCCTCTATTGTTCTGTAAGGAAACCCCTTAAACACTCAGACAGACAGTCAGAGAGAACAGTAAAAATAGGCATTTACTTCTAAGACAGAAGCTGTTTGACATCCAGCTGTGATATCCATAAAGTCACTGACAATGAAAAATATAAAAGCAATCAGAGGGTCGAATGAAGTTGAAGGGAGTTTTGCAGATGGTCGGAAACACTTGACTGTCATTAAGAGCTTAGATTTAAGTGTCTCTGCTGCATGCACTGCCTGTCTGTCAGAATTGTGAAACACTACAAGAGACATGACGCCAGAGTTTCTTAACCCATGGTAAGGAAACCGACATCCCTGGAGGTTTGGCAGTGAACACTTGTACACTGTATGTTTGCTGTAAGCCACTATTCCCACCAGCCATTAAGGGCTTCTTACTGTATGTGTAGGATTATATTTCTCTTGATAAAACGCCCAATATTTCCAAACAATGGGAACTATTCTCTGGAGAACATGCAGAGTGTATTCAGATTCTGTTTATGGCCAGTTGGTGAATATGTTTGGGAAACTGAAAATTGGGTAATGACAGATTGAGAGTCTTCAGACTGAATATGATGTTGAAGTACCTACTTCTTCTTCTTCTTCTTCTTCTTCTTCTTCAGGAAACATGTTTATAATAATAGACTTTATTTGGCATGGACATCACAGATACATTGAACAAACCAGATGCATTGTTTAAGTGTTTTAGCAAGCATGCTAGTTCTCAACACCTGTCCACAGGAGGCTTGTCTGCATCATGTCTTGATATATTCCAGTTATCGATACTCAAATATTCTTGTCATCCTTATAAATAAAGAGACATAAATGAGGTTGGTTGAGACATACTGTACATCCTACCCAATCATATTTCAAAGGTTTTGCAGAGACTTCAAGAATTTTCTCAAAAAATGATCACAGTTGAGTTCCCCAACTTGACATCCTGCGCCGTGATTGGCTGTTACTAGTTGCCTGAAGGTTTGCTCTTGTTGGATTCTCCCTCAGGTGTACAGGAGACTGCTGTCCCATGTATAAAGCCTGGCTCAGACCGATTTGAGGTCCAATTATCCCGCTTCCCTGAGAATCGTCGGGTCGTTCCCGACTCAAGGTTGCTCGGTTATGTCCCCAAATTATCTTGTAGTGTGAGTCGTATAAAGATTCTGCAAGCTCCATTTTTTTAATGTGATGTCAGGTGAGGTTCCTCCGCAGGGCATGATAATCTTATAAATCCTGTAGTATGCAGTGTGCCATGATTATTCTATATTTTGCAGTGCTTGAGATTATAGAGCTGAATATCTTTTGCGATTCTCCTGATGTTTGTGATGCAAACCGAATTAAAAATCTGGGGATTTTAAAACTCCTGCAGTGTGAGCAAGCCTCAAGTTGACACTGATCCTAGGTCTAGATTTAAGGTTGTCACAATAACAGAATTGTTAACTTAGATGCTAGTTAAAATCAAACAATAACAAAACCTGTTTTGACACTATGGCAACACACACAATATTCCCAGGCCCCCAACAAGAAGACAGTGATCTTTCTCTCTTTTGCTCACGGCAGCTTCTGGTATTACTGAAGATCTGTAGATCTTGTAACGCTTCAATAGTTCAGTATCGTCTATCCAGTATCGGATTGATCATGAAAATAACTGAGATTAATTTGTTTTGAAACTATACAGTCATGCTAGAAAGTAAAAAACAGTCGAAAATTTATATTTTCCTCTTACCTCCTCTCTCTCTCTCTTTCTCTCTCTCTCTCTCTACAGGATGATTGACAGCTGCCCCTCCTGATCAACAGGATGCCTGTGGTGCCAGTGGGCGGGTCATCCTCCTCCCAACATGTCGTACCCGTTGCCCTCACCTGCTCCTGGCTGGTTCTGCTCTTCCACGCCGCCTTTGGTCAGAAACCCGCCAAGCTGCCTCTGATTGGCCGGAAGCCATTTATCGCCGCCTGGAACGCCCCATTGGACATGTGCACCATCAAGTATAACATCACCACCAACCTTGACCGCCTCTTCCACATCCATGGGAGCCCACGTGCTGACTGGACGGGCCAGAACGTCACCATTTTCTATGCAAACCGGCTGGGCTACTACCCTCACTACACGCCACAGGGCGTCGCTGTGCATGGCGGATTGCCGCAGAACTGCAGCCTGGACCTGCACCTGTTCAAGGCCTACCAGGATATCAACCACTTCATCCCTGCAGAGGATTTTCGGGGCCTGGCTGTCATCGACTGGGAGTTTTGGCGGCCTCAGTGGAGTCGTAACTGGCACAAGAAGGACATCTACCGACGCAAGTCGAAGGAGCTAACCGCCAAGGCGTTCATTAATGTGACGGATGCACAAATGGAGGAGTTGGCACGGCGGCAGTTTGAAAAAAGCGCCAAGGCCTTCATGCAGAGGACTATCCAGCTGGGAACACGCCTCCGCCCCAACGGCCACTGGGGTTTCTATCTCTACCCTGACTGCCACAACTACAACCTCCATGAGCAGGACTACACAGGCTTGTGTCCCCTGCTGGAGAGGCTGAGGAACGATGAGCTGCTGTGGCTCTGGAACAGCAGCACGGCACTCTTTCCCTCGGTGGCGATCAGGAGAAGTCACACCAACAGCATCAGCAATCTGCACTTCTCTCAGCACCGGATCAGGGAGTCGCTCCGCGTCTCCTCGCTGACCTCCAAAGAGTACGACCTCCCCACTTACGTGTACTTGAGGCTGGGCTACCGAGATGAGGCCCTGGCCTTCCTCACCGCGGTAAGAGCAAAGTTCATCATATGTTTCTCAGAGTTTAGTGTGAAGCATATTATCTACATACTGAGGTTTCTTTCATGCATTTGCCTGTTGACATTGTGCTGGTGCACAACAAAGTCGTTTATTTCAGAAGTCTGATGAATTGGAAAGCCAAATGAAAAGCAAGTAACTGTAAATGTTCTTCTCTTTTGCAGATTATTTGAATTACCGATTTATTAGAATGTAAAGAAAATTTCAAACTACATAACAAGAACTATTACTTGAACAAATTGTCTTACAAAACCAAAGTTGTGTGTTCTAAAAATTACATTTTACCTTTGCTCTCAATTGTCAAAAATGTATCACTTTCAATGCATTTTCTTGACGGCACAAAGACTTTAATGCAACCTTATTCTTGCCACAATAATCTGAGATAAACAGATGGAGTCTTTGCCTCTAAATTATGGTGAAGAGATTGTTAAACGTGCAGAAAATGGAATCACTCGAGTTAGGAACTAGCTCCCAAAAAAGTTGCTAAACTTTCCTTTCTTCTGTTACTTTGCCAATCCTGCAAGATGTCACAGATCTCGGCTGGTCATTGTTTGCATTCTTAATGTATTGACTACTGCCATCTAGTGGATGTTGAATAGTGCAGTTTAGCATTACCAAACACAGTACTTGAATGCTGTGATCTTTTTTGCAAACCAGTCTGCAGATTCACTGAAGTGGTGTAGTGTTGGAAAAACAGGAAAACATGTTTCTATTTTTAAAACAGGCTTATTTGAGAAGTGCTTTTGTGGAAGTGCGTTCTTGTGGCACTTTAAACCTCATATTGACTCTTTCTGTCACAGAACATGCTTTTAATTATCCTTTTTTCAGTACAGATTATAAAGCAGATTTGTTCTCAAAAGCAGAATATAAGGTTTGTTCTGTTTGATTACTCTATGCTAAATTAAATGATTATTACACTTCCAATGGATCAACCAATGGTTCATGAATTTAAAAACTTGCCTCTTTCAAAGCTTTGACAGCTATACCTGGTGTTAACAATAAGTTAAATGTGTAAGTGACAGGCAGTGAGATGTGACATCTGTAGCTGTGTGTTTCTCACAGAAAGACTTGATCCACACCATCGGGGAGAGCGCCGCTCTGGGAGCTGCAGGATTTGTCATCTGGGGAGACTTGAACCTGACCTCGTCCAGGGTGGGTGTCCTTTGCCCTTTTTTTTTTTTCCAAAAATCCAAATACTTATCTCTTGCTCTCTGTTAAACTGAACTAACGGCTCACAAACAATGAATATTAATTATTGTGGCAGATCTCTGGCGAAACTTTTCTTCTAAATATTCCCTTCTGAATTTGTACTTTCATGAGAAGATAATCTTTCTTCAGGATTGGTTCAGTTGTTTTAAACGCTAAAAGAATCAAGGCTTGTAATGCAGACAGAGAAGGGAGTCAACGTTGTGTGGTGTTTTGAAACCACTCAGACAATTTGAAACCATGGTGCATTTTTTCTCACGGCCTGCAGAGTGTTCTGTCTGCATGAAAGACAAAAAGATCCTCAAAATAGCATCTGATAAAACCACGAGTACCATGGGGAGTCAGTCAGTTTTTGGGAATTCACTGTAACTTTTTTAAAACATAGAGTGTTTGTATGTATGTTACGCCTTAACTTCATCAGGGTTTTCATCAGGGTTTTCCCCCAGGGTTTTGCACGGATATAATTCTACGATGTTGAATGTGAATATTTAACATGACCAAGGTTTTAAATCATAAGGTTAAATATTTGCCTCCAAAAACTGTTAATATTAGGTTCCTAATATATTTTTCTTCAGAACGGAAAGCATTTTTACTCGGTCTTGTCTTGGTCTCAGACTGGGCAGACTCCAGATTTTACATCAAGACCGGTTAAGACCACCACTGATCGGCTATTTTTCCACGTCATCACTGTAATAAGAAGGAAAATGTCTCTTTCTTAAAAAAGAAATAACTTTGATTCATTTGTAGTTCAATTTTTATCCCCCTGTTACAACCGCAACATTTCCGGTGTTACGGTCTAATTGAGTTACACACAGGATGATTCAGTGATATTTATGGTCTTGGTCTTGTCTTGGCCTTGTCTTGGTCTCGGTTAGCGTGGACTTGACTTCAACACTACTGCCCAGTCAGTTGAGGAAGTTATAATTGACCTCTCTGTCAAATTAGTTTTCCAAGTATTTTATTTAACCTTTATTTGACCTGGAGAGAAGCTCCTGGAAGCAAACATTTGTCAAAATTGTCTACAATCATAAATATACCAGTCAGGACAACTACAGCCGGATGAGTCATTCACATCCTCTTTAAAGCAACCAATGAGACTAGTTCACTAAGTTTCAGGTCTTTTCGTAATTCATTCCAAGTAAAGGAAATTATAATAATTTCCCCCGGTTCAGTTTTGACGTTTGGAACTTATCTGTACTTCCTACTGATTTTTGGTGTTTTGAGCAACTGTAGCAAACCAATTTCCCCCTGGGATTAATAAAGTATTTCTGATTCTGGAACAGACAGAAAGAAAATATCCTGCAACAGAAGGAACGGAGGAAGTAGAATTAAAAAGTTTTCCAAAATGCTGTGTGTCCAGCTTGGTTGGAGGGCGCTCAGTAAACGTCATATGTCGTTTTGTTTTCTACAGCACAACTGCTCCAAGGTGAAAGCCTTCCTGAACTACCGCCTGGGTCAGTACATCACCAACGTGACTCGAGCCGCTGAGGTCTGTAGTGATTACCTCTGCCAGGGGAACGGTCGCTGTGTCCGCCGGGACCCCCTCACCCCTCACTACCTCCACCTGAGCACCAAGAGCTATCGCATCCGTCGCTCCGGTGATGGGGAGTTCACCGTCACCGGGTGGCACTCACAGCATGAGCTGCAGCTGCTGACTGACAGGTTTAGGTGTCACTGCTATGAAGGCCATGAGGGCGAGCACTGCGACAGCATCAACATAGTGAAGGAGGACGACAGGCCGTGGGGAGACAACGAGGAGGACGAGCAGGAGAGGAAGAGGACAGAGTGGGAAGACGAGCAGGGTGACGGCCCGGAGGCAGGGGAGAGTGAGGCAGCACGGAGCGGGTGCAGCCTTCACCTGATGTTGCTGATGCTCCTATTGAACTTATCGTTTGCAAAAACATTTGTATGATGCACTCTGACTGAAAGAGTAGTTATTCTTACCACAGCTGTGTACTCAAGTTTGAGGGATGATATGGCACTTTACATTAAAACAGAGATTTGACATGTTGACTTGAAACATGAAGGTCCGTTTGATTGTAAAACAGTTCACCTGGTTGAACAATCTGTGCTTCTTTTTTTGGCCGACAACTGCATTTGTTTTTCTTGTCATGTTAACTGGGGACTGTAGATGTAACTGTACGTTAGACTTTATACCGCATAATGTTCATGAAAGAGGCCTGTTTGAAAAGCTTTACTTCCAATTTCACTGCAGTGTCCCTTTTTGTTTAACTGTTAAAAGCCTCTCAGATGGTTTTTATGAACACACAAAAGCTGAGACTTTCAATGGAAAACCAAAGGGTATTAATACTAACCACTCAGACATACAGTACGTAGGTAAACAATCACTAACCTTTTAACGCTTGGTCTGTGGTGTTTTTTATCCTTCTAAAGGACAAAAGACAGATCCTAATTTCTTCATTTTTTGTGTTCTAGTCAACTAAAAAGTTTTGAAATATGTCTGTTGATTTCGTCATCAGTGAGATGGGCTGCAATGGCTGCGATGTAATGTCTTTAAGAAAACCACTTGCTCAAAAAACGTCCACTAAAAGCGCTTGTTTCTGTGACTGGCACATTGATTGTTCTGTTATAGAACCAGGATCCCCTCAGAGATTGACCCTTTGTTGCGTTGAGCAGAAACTGTCTGTATTCAAATCTACCAGACTCCATTGATAAAAAATTTGATGATGGTCTATGTTGCCTTGATCAATTAGTCTGTTTGTTATGTTGGGCTGAATCTGAGCTAACCCTCGCAAGCTGCGTTCAGGTCGCAGTCTCCCCTGGAGGTGTTGGTTCGACTCCCACTTCTGACACATTTGTTCATTAATGGGGGCGGCAGTAGCTCAGTGGGTAGTGACCTGGGTTGGGAACCGGAGGGTCCCAGTGTGGACCATGTCTGCAACTTGGTCTGGTAGCTGGAAAGGTGCCAGTTCACTTCCTGAGCACTGCCAATGTGCCCCTGAGCAAGGCATCAAAACCCCCCACCAGCTCACAACCGCCTCCATTGGTGCATGTCCACAGGATCCTGTTTGTGCATGTGTGTGTATATCAGCTTGTGTGTGTAGCATGTTCAACAACAGAGTGTAAAATTGAATTTCCCCTCGTGGGATTAATAACGTTTATCATCTTAAAACAAAGTAACTGGTCAAGGTGGAAGACTAGCAACTTCAATAATGGTAACGTTTTGTGAATGGAGTCTGCTGGTTTTGAATAGAGGGGTTTAACAGCTGTTTCTAGTTTCTCAAAAAGGATTTCACTCTTTTAGAAAAATGCTCATATCCTTTGGGATCCTTCCAGTTGTTTGACACTTTACAAAATGTTAGAAATGGCATGACTTGTTTATTCCTCAACAAAAGATTGTTATCTCAGTTGACATCATACATGGGGTGTGTATTTTTTTGTTTCTTATACTCTGGTAGAACACCTTGTCAGGGAACACCTCGTATATGAGCCTGTTGTGACGTGATGCATACATGTAGGTGCTTTTCACTTTGATTTTTCATATATCTGTATCTTAACTTTTTGTTTGTTTGGTTTATTATAAGCCATAAAGCTCAGAATATTGCTTGTTTTTGTGATTTTGTATAGGTTTATGTTGCTATAGCTCAGTTCAGAGGATTCAGATTAACAGACTGTGTTTAGCTTTTGATATATTTTTCATCTTATTGTGAGCAAGTGATGTCTCCATATCTGAAGCTGCTGTACAGTACAGTACTGTAGGTATGACGAAACACTGAACAGGATGTGAAAAGATGGCACATACTATCAGTACACATGACTCAGCGGCTCTGTGTGGTTTTAGAGGTCTTCAACGCCTTCTTCTTGCCAAAGTCAGGTATCAGTTCAAACCAAAGATGAGTTGTAAAGCGTTGAGTTAAGTGTTAAGCGAATGTATCCTGTAAAAATGATGGGAAGTTAGTAGCTGACTGATGCAAGGTTGGGGGTCTTTGAAGCTGTGTTTAGACCAAAAGGCAAAGCTAATGTTTCATGCTGAGCAGTCGATGCAGACTTGCAAAAATACATTGCTTGTGCATTGTGTTGCAAAATCTTTGAGACTCTCCTGATGCACCGTTGTTGCGTCAAAGAGGATCCATTCAAAATGCATCAAAAAATACAAAAGTGTTTTGCCAATTTTTTTCATATGACAACAAACATCACATTGGTTGGTTTGGAACGCAAAGACAAGCAGGGGATGGTTTAGTTTGGAGAGGACTTGTTTTTAAGTGCACATTTCTTCCACTTAGGATGAAGAAAAAAAAATTGGCAAATCTTGTCATTAACATACACTTTCCACATCTGCCATTTAATTTACTATGTATACAATCTCTACACTTTGTACACCTCATGAAGACCACTTTATGTTTTTCTACAGCGTTGACTTTTTTTGGCAGCTGCACATTCAAAAAGTCAATCAAAGGGATCTACTTAAACTGACTGGAACTGGCTAACTTGATGAAAAAACGGCATTCAACTTTATAGTCTTTAGCAGAATTCTTAATCATTTTAAGGAAAATCAAATCCAAAGTATGTGCATTGATCTCAGACTAAGTTCTACCTTTCTTTAACTTTCTAGTCTTCAAAGTGACATGTAGCATCTGTCAGCTTTGAAACACTGACCCTGGAGTAAACTGAACCAGTATTTTCATCTCAAACAAGCCTTCAGGTGAGGTTCAGATCTCAAGGGTTTCACTTTACACATCACTAACAGTGTCTGACAGTTATCATATTTCTTTTTTTTTTTTAAATTGTAAACTAAATATGCAACGAAGACTATGCAACACATGAAAAATGTTACCTGAATGTAAATGCACTGCAAATAAAGACTTCTTCAGTACACCTGTGTCTTTTGATCTTCTTCTGTGCACACAAACAAAGGATGCCATGGAAACTGTTTGCAGCCATGTTGGATATTCATAGAAACAACTTCCACATTTTCAAACATGTCGTACCAGGCATTCATAGCTGTAGGGCCCCTAACTCTGGGTTCTAACAGCACGTGCATGATCGCAAGCTGGCTGTCCACTCTGCATCCAGTAAATATTTCTTAGCTCTGTGAATTTCAGTTTCCCCTTGCAAACATTTGTGACATCTCGTGCTTTTGTATTGAAGTGGACAAACTGAAGTGTGGTGCTTTGTATCGAGGAGCTCTTGACTCAAATCACAACACTCAGAAAGGCTTGTCAATAAACGGCTCGGGGTTAGCTGCACAAAGCTTTCAAAAGTCAAAACACAACATTTAAATCACGGATGTAGTTATTATTTATAAACCGTTATCTCCCCTTTGTACAACAAGCCAACAAGCTCTGTTGAGGGAGAAAAACGAGCGTCAGCACCTTGTATAGCCCCCTTCTTCCTTGTCTTTCTATACGAGCATCAGAAAGGAAAATCGAAACAAGGCGTTGGGCTAAAAATGCTGCGCCAAACACTTTGCTTTGCGTTGCATCGCTTGAAGGCAGTTAGGACACTAATAGTAAACAATAGCATCAGGCTGATTTTGTCGCTGACGCTAGCTTGTGTTGCGCGCTGTTAGGACAGGCTGTAAGGAGGAAGAGGCCCTTATTATTGATACCAGAATTTTAAATGTTCATATGATTCCAGTAAAAATAGCTCAGTAACAACAACAAAAGTCCTAGACACCCAATATAGGGTCATGTATTGGCCATGGACAACATTGGGATTTATTGTGGCCAATGGAAATGTATGGATTTACGGATTGGACTGCTCGAACGCATGTCCAACGCATAAATCCCAATATTGCCAATGATAGACGTAGTCTTTTAAAACTTCAGTACTTTTCCAGAGTTTCAATCATTAGAGGTTTAATCGTAAAATGATGACACTGTTGATTTAAAGCTTTTAATGGGTCATTTGTATAACGGATATGTGGTCATAGAAATATCACAGGGTTGACTGAGGCTGTGGGGGATGGGCCCAATGTGATAGCTTTCATGGGGCCCAGAAATCCTGGAGACACCCCTGATGCCATGTATGATTAGTGACCAGGCATCACAATCCTGCTAAAGATTCAAAAGGTTAAAACATTAACAAGTCGAAAACAATGAACATGAATTATACTGTACATCAGCTGGTTTCTGTCCAAAAAGAGGAAGCAGTGTGAACAAAAAAGATGGCACATTAAAAATACCACAGAGTGCAAAACTTTTGTCATTCAGATATTTCTTCCTGAAGTGACCAAAGCTTGCACTAAGCTCATCCTTGTGCATTAAAAGCTTGATAATTGTACTAATATGGATCACAAATTTTTTCCCTTTTTTATTGTTTCAGAATGCAAAAAAAAACTTCAAGAAATTGAAAAACACAAAAATGAAAACAAAAGTCATTTTTAATTGACAAAAAGTGTAAGTGTGCGGCCTTACATTTTCCAAAGACGGACTAAATGTTTGGTCCACCTGTACGTCAAGACCTCGATCAGATAACGACCCATCAGAGTGAAGAAACAGTTTCCTCTCAACCATGAAGCAGCAAAAGCACATGAGGAAAGTTTGTATAACAGCAAACTGTGAGTCACAGAGAAGCTCAGCAGGTAAGAGATAATTATTTAACGAAAATATATACTGAAAAACTATTTCAAACATGTACGACCTTTGTCTGATAAATAAGGATTATTGGAACAAGGCTGACAATGTTTTATCGAACAATTTGTTTTCAGTTTCAGAGTTTTCGCAAAATTTCAGCAAATTGAAAGTTAAGAGTGAGAAGGCAGTTTGGTGACCTGAACAGTGTTTATTCGGTTAAATAAAACCATGCCTGTTCTTACAAACTCCAACTGTTCTGCAGGGTGAAAGTGTTTTATTCATGCAGGATATAATCAGGAGAATTCAGCTTGAGGGAGTGGGAGGGGGTGGTGATGTTTATTCCCTGTAATGGGTCCACGACCATAGACTGTATGCACAAGACTGGTGTGCACATGATTAAACTGCTTAATTATGTTTTCTGGTTGCCAGCATTTTCTTCTCCACTCTTTTGTTGATGTTGTGATTCTGTCAAACTTGCACCAGAAGCAAATTCCTTCCTCTTTATCTGCAATATTGTTTGGTAGACTTAGAGTCTGCTCCAAATTGTCCTAGACATCACATACTAGTTTTCTTCAGCTTAAGCCATATGAGTCTCCTGAATCATTCTTGTGTGAAGTCAAGTTCTTACTAATTTCCTCAACAGTGTGAACAACTGGATTAGGGTTGTTTCAGGGGTAGTCCTGAAATTCTCTAGAAATATTCAGGAGTGCATTTGTGAAAAAAACAGCCTATTATTGATTGTATCACTGCCAAGTTGGTTTCAGAGCCCCGAACATGCAAATCTCATGATATGGTGAAAATAAAACATCCTATTGAACCTTTTATATGTCAAACACTCAAGGTGAAAATGGATAATGAAACAGATAAACCAGGGTCATAAATAGAAATGTGTCTAATATTTTGTCTACCCTCCATAAGTTCAGAGCCATCATGACAGCTCCAACCTTCCAGTCCTGTGTTCTCCTTTGCATCATTGGATCCATCACTACCATACTTGCACTGCCCCCAACAGAGGCCCCGCTGTTCAAGGGGCATCCTTTTGTGGCCATTTGGAATGCTCCAACTGATAAGTGTCAGCATCTCCACATCCCACTGGACACTGCAGCCTTCAAGGCGGTGACCAAACCAAACTTGGTGCCAGGGCAGTTCCTGACCATTTTCTACGAGGAACGACTAGGCCTCTACCCTAAAGTTGACAACAAAGGAGACAAGACCTACAATGGTGGAATCCCTCAACGAGGCCACCTGACAGAACACCTGGCAAAGGCAAAGAACCAGATAGATAGGTACATCTCCAAGGACTCTTCTCATGGGCTAGCTGTCATTGACTGGGAGTCCTGGCGTCCCCTGTGGGACCGAAACTGGGGGTCAAAGCATGTTTATCAGAAGTTGTCTATTGCTTACGCAAAGCAGATGTTTCCTTTTTTAACGAGGAAAAAAGTCTCAGAACGTGCAATGGTAGACTTCCAGGATGCTGGACGACGTTTCATGGAGAAGACCCTTAGCCTCGGCATCAGTGAACGTCCGAACCGCCACTGGGGCTTCTACCTGTTGCCTGACTGCTACAACTACGACTGGAAAAATAAAGACTACACAGGGAAGTGCCCTGCGGAGATGCAAAAGCAGAACAACAAACTGCTGTGGCTCTGGGAGCGCAGCACCGCCCTCTTCCCTTCCATCTATCTAAAAAAAAACCTGAGTAACACCGCCAAAGCCACGCTGTTCGCCCGCAACCGAGTCCAGGAAGCAGTGAGGGTATCCAAGCTGCCCAAACATCCATACACAGTACCAATCTACGTCTACCAAAAGCCATTGTACCGGGAACAAGCCAAGAAGTTCCTGAGCAAGGTTAGTCGGTAGTCTTGCTTAAAATTTGTCTATTTCTGGACTTACAACATATCTCTACAACATATTACTTTGGATGTCCCAAGCTAGCAAGTATTTCCAGTGTTTCTTTTGGTTAATATTCCTTTAAGAAGAAAAAATGGAAGTGTTGTTAAGACTGCCCTTCTGGCCTACATTCACTTTGCAGTACCAATGTTGGAGTTCTTTGCTAGGCTGGTGCCTGGCCGCTAAGGGATAAGATCACCATAAGTTGGTCTTCTTTGTTGTCCCTCGAGTTCCAGTCTTGGCTGAAAGCATTGTAAACTAGCCTCGTAGTTTAATGTTGACCGGGTTGACTTGTTGCCAGATGAGTTGTCTGTTACACTGGCTCTGGTCTCACAAAGTTGGCAACACTGACCACCAACTTCTTCTAGTACAGGCACTAACTGAGCTAACAAGCTACCAGTAACAAGCAGACAATGTGTAAAGTAAGTAAACTCTGTAAATCTAAAACTCCTAACTAGTGTTTTTGTACAATAATCAACGAGGTCCTGCTCAAAGCAAGTAGTAGAGACCAGGTACTGACGTCATGACAGGACATGTCATCAGCTTAGTAGGCGCGACTTACAGCTTCTAATATAGATTTTTAAAATTGTTGGACTGAGATGTTTCAGTAGTCAAGCCCAGAACGGCCAAATAAACACTAAACACTTAACGCTCTAAAAAGACCTAATCTTAACCCTTGATCTACCTTTTGTATGGAATCCCAGTCTGAAAATGGTAAAACCCTTAAAGGTAACTTTGACAAAGAAAATTGTACAACATATGGGTGAAATATGATAATGTCTATTGAAGCAAGTCCCTTGATTTTTTAAATGAAGGAAACTGGTCTAAAAAACATGTTGTTTGTTAGTTGAGTATTTTTGTAAAGAAAGGTTGAAAAGTCCTCTGGGCATTGTCTCTCCTTTTCAGACTGATTTGGTGAGCACTATTGGAGAATCTGCAGCTCTGGGAGCTTCAGGGATAATAATGTGGGGAGCAACCAAAGACTACTACCACAAGGTAATCTCTGTTTTCTGAAACATGCACATTCTTTTGGATTATTTTAAAAGGGGAGGAGTCATCTTGTCCTTGGGCAAGACACTTAACCCCAAGTTGCTCCCGCTGCTTCATCGGTGGAATATGAATGTGTGTGAATAGGATTAGTTTCTTCTGATGGACACTTTACACAGCAGCCTCTACCATCAGGGTGTGAATGTGTAGGTGTGACCTGCGGTAAAAGCTCTTTGAGTAGTCAGAAGACTAGAAAAGCGATATACAAGCTCAAGTCCATTTACCATAAAATGTGGCTATAATCATTTTTTAATCATTCTGACTGTTAAGTGACCTCTCCCTAACACGTCTTAACCATTAAAGATTGGTCTCTTTTTTTAGTGAAATTTTCTGTTTTTCTTTTAAAAGTATATGCTGACAAAGCTGAGTAGGTAAAATAGTAACACAAATGTCAAGTGTGAACTGCTGAGATGAAGCACAGTGAAGCTTTAAGAGAGAACAATGACTTAAAGACACGTCATGTTTCCGGTCAGTTAAAAACATTGTGCATGTTGTGCTCTTTCCGGGTCTGAAAAAGGGGAACACAGATGACGAGGCTTTAATGAGAAAAGTATTTCTCTGCCTGTGTTTCCTCTTTAAGAAGGAACTCACAGGAGCCGCAGTTGACATTTGTTGTTTATTCTTAAACGTTTTGGGGCATTGATGGCTTAGTGGTCAGGTCGCCCTAAACGTACAAAAGCTATAGTCCCCAAGGTGGATGGTTGGGGTTCAAATCCGACTTGCAGCTCCTGCCACGCATGTCATTCCCTGCTCTCTCACAGTTTTTCTTCTCTATCCAAAATCCTGTCTAAATTAAGGCAAAAACCCCAAAATAAATCTTAAAATTCAATAGAGTTCTTTAAACACAAATTTTATATTCAAAGCTTCTTTGAAGAGTTTTTAACTGGTTTTGAAACAGACTGAAATTATTATTGAGATATTAATGACATAAAGACATAAAGTTGATGCGCGTAATGGGAGGCAACAAGAGACAAACAAATTAAGGAGAAAGGAAGTGAGTGATCAGCTGGGGGTAGTGTTAGATGAGGCTGAATGCTTTGGTGAACAGGTGGTGATTGAGGAGGTTTTTAAAAATGGCCAGAGATGCAGCAGTGCAGATTTACCATGTTGGCGGATTATTGGACCGAGGGGGAGCATGTAGATGGTGAAGAGAAGAGGGCCAAGCACAGAACCTTGTGGTACTCCTTGGTCATTCTTTGTAATGATTAAAACCATGGCCACAGGGTACAGTAGGAGTCAGACAAGATAATTAACAACACCTCAGGAACAGCCTGATTTTGTTACATTTTCCACAGCAAAGATTAACAATGAGGACAGCAGGAAGAGTTTTTTTTAAAACAAAAAACAATGCTAAAGATGTACAGGGCAAGAAAGGCAAAGAGATAATTAGTACAACTTTGTCCACAGATTGCGCTAAAATCAAGACAAAGAGAAAGTTCCTCAGAGTAGCTTTGATGTATTCAAACATCTTCTCACACTCATATTTTCAAAAACGTTTCTCTTTCTTTTCTCCCTTTAGGGTGCCTGTCATTCTCTGTCCAAGTACCTGGAATCCACCTTGAACCCTTACGTTGCCAACGTGACGGCGGCCGCCATGCTCTGCAGCCAGGTCTTGTGTCAGGGGAAGGGCCGCTGTGTCAGGAAGAACTACGACTCCACCCACTACCTTCACCTGAACCCCACCCACTTCAGCATCAAGAAGGCCGACAGGAAGTACGTGGCCGTTGGTCTTCCATCTGCTGCTGATCTTAAAACATGGGCCGAAAACTTCACCTGTCAGTGCTACATGGGATCCAGATGTTCACCGAAACTGCTGCGTCCTAAAAGGACCAAACACATCTGGGTTTAATCTGTAAACTTAAGCTCATGAGCATAACAGTTATGTAGTTATTGAAGCAATTAAAACAACTCTAATCTGATGAAATACCCTCTTAAATCGCCATCTTGTTCTTCTAGGCAGAAAGTCCTGTTTCTATGACAACAGTCTGTTGACATTGGCCACTGTCTGATCGACACTGCTCCTTTACTTTTAATTGTATGTTTTTTATTTGAGATCGTTTATTTCCTGATCAGACACGGAGCGAGTAGGATGTGGGTACAATACTTGAGCCGTATGCAACCAAACTACGGGAAATATCAAACATTTGTAAAAAGAGTGCTGGTGACGTCAACAGCGCCTTTCTGAAAATTGAAAGATTTTCAATTTGAACACTCGGTGCAGCTGCGAACGCTCTCTACTCATTGAAAACAATTGAAGAAAGACACTAGAAAAACACTAGGTGGACACGGGGTCTAAATGTAACATATAATTGCCAAGTCGTATACAATACCAAATTATTTGAATTGGAAACTTAAAGGCACTGAAAACTGTTCTTTGTATATGGCAACCATTTTGCTTGAGTCAAAACACACACTGGCCTAAGATAACCGTTAATGATTCACTCTTGCTCTGTGAGTTTCAGAACCAAACAGGAGAGGAGGTATAGGTATTGGATGGATGGATGGGTTCAACTGCTGGTCAACAGGCGTTTCAGTTCATCACTCTGACCTCAGCTCCGCGTCTGTCATTTTTACCCATTGGGCATTTGTTTAATAGATGTAGCCATTTTGTATTTTGAGAGTTCCAGACTTTTCTCTCGGCAGACATACAGACTTGTCATAGCAAGAAAATCTTAGGTAAAAGATAATAACACCATGCAGTGATGAATCTTGTCCGTTTAGGTGTGTCAGTACAGCAAGTACCATATCAAGGCTTTGGCACTGGCACACATTAATAAAGTGCACTCATCATAATGCTGTTTTTTTAGGACAGAATTTTTCATCCATTATACAAGTTCCTTCTTGTCTGTGAGCAGAAAATTAAAGCTTTTTAGCAGAATGGGATATAAGTTAATTTTGAGGAGATTTCCTAAGCAGCAAGCTTAAGCATTTACAGTTATGGCACAAAAGCATTCACACTTGCTGCTGTTTAAGGAAACTTCCCAACATGGTCACTAATGTCAAATGAGTGTAGATTTTAAATAGGACATATTATCCCCCCTTTCCATCTTTTCAAACAGTCCCCTGTGGTCTAAATGAAACATCTGTGCTGTGCTTTGGTCAAAATATAACATGAATCAAGCACCAGAGGAGGTTTGTGACCCTGTATAAACCAGCTCTCTCAGAACGCTCCGTTTTGGTGTGTGTGTCTCTTTAAATGCAATGCTAGTGAGAATAAAAATGGCGGACCTGCGTAAAAGTTTTGCTCTAGGCTTGGGGGTGACCAGAATTTTAACCAGAATCCCACTGTCAGAAGGAGAGCACATTTGAAAAGGAGCATTTTCCTCTGTGTTGTAAGACTTATGCAGACCACAAACAAAGGACTGGATGGGTTTATTTCACATTTTGGGGGTCGGTAGACACTCAGGTTACCCAAATATATGTTCAACAACACTGTACAAGTGGGTTTTTCATAATACGTCCCCTTTAAATGTACTCAATTAAAGTTGTTCCTAAGAATTCCTAAGTGCATGCCATATTGCACATGTTCCCCTGTCTGTGTAGCGAATCGGCCCTGCAAGCAGTGCCTACATGCTATATGTTTTGACAATAATCATACCTACATATCCAAATCAGCCATAGTTCAAAATGCATTCTTGTCCTATTCGCTTACATTTTTGGATGCAATTTGGCAGCCGTGACAAAAGAAGCAGAAAGACAAAGGAAAAAGAGCTTCAAAAAGACAAATTGCTTCCATATCATACATGTTGCACTCTATTCCTTCAACTGGTCTTGTTCAACAGCTGAGCAGTGAGGTTGAGAGAGCGCTGTATGTATTTGTAGGTATGTCTGTTAAATAATGCTGTTTTTTATGCTTGTGTTGTACCTTGTTTTTGTGTTAGGACCCCTTTGAAAATGAGATGGTGCATCTCAAGGGGCTATCCTTTAATAAATTAAAATCAACCTGCTAACCAAGATGAATATGATAAAATGGTGCATCTCTAATCGTATGCTATCATAATGACTAGAAAATAGTCAGATTAATGTAACATAGGAGAAAGACGATAAGGCCGTTCTGGACGCAAAAAAGGTGTGAATGGGGCCAAAGGTCAAAAAATTTCTGTGTCGACCTTTCGGTGCACCCTTAGTTTGAACAAAGTGCGTCAGCACTGACATCAGGATTAAAGTACTTTACACAACAATAGAGTACATAATGAGTGCAGCGCGATGAAGGCCTCAAGCCCAAACATGTCGATCTGACGTTAAAATTGTTTTCTGTAGTACAAGCTGATGGAGTTTAGACCTCCTCAAGGCTACTAGCTGCAACCCCTGTAACCTTTGTTCAGGACAAATCTCTTCTTATTTCTTATCCCATGAGTCCTACACTCAAAAGAACAATGCTTTGCTGGAGATCATGCATGAGTTTGCTCTCCATGATTACAAAAATATTAAAAGGAAATCTGTAAAATGACCTGGGTTTTGCAGAATGAGTGATTCATGTTTTTGCAGAATTCTGTTGGGTACATCTACCATGTATTGCAGTTTATTTCCAGCCAAATTACAAGTAATCCTTCCCTTTGTGGGCTGACATAGAGCAGAAGTTGGTGATGATTGAAGACGGACGGAACAGCCCAGTTTCTTCATGTGATTCACCACTCTTCTGGTAGATTTCCTTTTAGTGAACCTCCATCAACAGCTGACCAAGTTCAAACTCTCACTGCATACTTCGCGTGTCCTGACACAGCCCCCGGATATGAGCGGCACTTGTGTCCACACATTGTCCTCATCCCAGAGCTTCCTCAGATATCTGCCTCCGGGCGGAGAGGGGTGGGGGGGAGCTCATCCTGAGCCTGGAACACATCAGGACGTCCCAATAAATAACAGAACACCCCGGGCCTGCAAATCATTCTGCTCTGACAAGTTTCCACAAGTGTTCTGCGCCTGTGATTGAAGCTCTGGCATCAGCTCGTTTAACGAGGAGAGCAAGTTTATGACAAACAGGTAATCATTCAACGACTCACCGAGCGTGCAGATTGGACAGGGGGGACGTTGGACCACCACAGCAGGTTGGTACTTACTTAATAACGTCTTATTTAACTGTCTCATTTGGGTTCAAAGGTTTATTGGTGTTTTCCTGAGAGTTTAACCGAACATTACCAGGGTCGTGTTCATCAGCAGCTGTGACATTGTTTTTACTCTCAGGAGTGTAGCCTCTTTTGAAAACGACAGAAATCATAAACCTGTCAGGCTGTAACCTGCCTGGAGATAAAGTTACTGTAGTGACACATCTGATCCTGTGAACTCGTAAAGATACAGAAGCTTACACTGCGTTGAGTGTAATAGACTATCAGTCAGTTCTTTTTACAGTGAGGACTGTTTCACAGGGTCTCGTATTCATCAGGCAGCAGAACAGGTGACTGAAAGTGTTATCAGGCCGTGCAGACAGGTGCACAGATTAGCTTGTAAAAACAACAGGACATGTTTTTCTATAGAGAGGTACGACTGTGTGAGACTTGTTGACAGCTGACTATAAATAGATGTAAAGCCTCTGTAACATCTGCAGTGTGTCTGGTTTCAGTTTGCTCTTTTCATTCTTACCTGACCTTTCTAAGTATTAACAAATACAAAAAACAAACTAATACTTCAAGTGATAGATGAGGGGGAAATAGAAAATTAAATCTTACAGCTTTCTTCAAGTTTATGCAACCTAACCAAGGTGCTTTTCAGCCAAAAAAATATCACTTGAATTAACAAGATGATGCATTTGTAAATAAGTGTGAATAAAGAAAATAAAAATAAGTTGTTGCTTAAGTATGAAAAACAGATTTTGGCATTTTAATTTTAATTTCAAACCTTTATTTAAGCCTTGAAAATCATTGAGGTTTCCCTCATTTAGAGATACAAATCAAAACAAAATAAAAAGGTCACAAAACAACAACAAGTCAGGATGATTCTCAGTAGAAACCATCACACTCTATGGTAAAGTGGTTTGAGAACATTGTCCTAATTTGTCCAAGAGAAACAAGAGTGTCCATCTTGAGAGAGTGTTGTAAATTATAAGCAAAAAAGCTAAAAGTGGATTTTCCAAGTTCAGGATACTCCGTTTCTATTTTCCTCTCTGTCGCTCGCGTCGACAGGCGAGGAACGAGAAAGGTGGGGGACTTTACATGACACTGACGCTCGCTTTTCTCACTCGGCACAGCTTGTTGGCTTGTTGTACAAAGTGGAGATAACGATGTATTAATAATATCGACATCCATAATTGAAATGTTGAGTTTTGACTTTAATAACGACATGTAACGCTCGCCTACTGTTGGGACACAGGGTTAAATGTTTGTAGTGCATCGTTAGAACTTGTGTTCAAACTAGGCCCTGTTTGAACTTTGCAAAGATGGTGCAACCCAGGGTATCTGAGACCAAGTAAAAATGCTTTTCCAAGATGAAACAGAGACCTCAAAAATGTACAACACTACTTAACCGATGCTAAAACCCTCCAGTCATCCTCATCCTCCAAGTCATACGTGCAAGATCACCATGACAACCCTATTTTTTTACAGAGGATTTTCTCTACCTCGAGCTAGGTGTAAGATTTAAGTCGTAACTTCTGCCTACATTAGAACAATCTCCCCTGGTGCAACACCTTAAATGTTATGAGAATCAGAATCAGAATCAGAATCAGACTTGGGTTTTGGTGCTAAACAATTAACAAGGAAATAAAGCAGAAATAGCAACAACTTACATAATATAGTATAAGAAGCTATTACAATATATAAAATAGAATTTAAAAATGTAAAATATAAAAAATAAGAAACACAAAATGTACAAAAGGTGCAATGTAGGAGCTGTGCAGTGGACTTTGAGAAAAAAATGAGTGCATTGTTAGAACTCATACTCTGCCATATTTGAACTTATGTAAAGACAGTGCAACCCAGTGCAGCTACTTAG